TTTCCTCCTCCTCTTCTTCTTCCTGCTTTTTTCCTCCTCCTCTTCTTCTTCCTGCTTCTCCTCCTCTTCTTCTTTCTGCTTTTCCTCCTCTTCCCCATCTTTCTGGTTTTCCTCCTCCTCCTTTTCTCTCTGCTTTTCCTCCTCCTCTTCTTCTTCTTGCCTTTCTTCCTCCTCCTCCTCTTCTTATTTCTGCTTTTCCTCCTCCTCCTCTTCTCGGTGGACCAGGAGCTACAGTTACATAATATTACCTACTATTATTCTTCTATTCACCAGCACTGTACATCCGTGTTACCGTTTAATCTAACTACACCAACAATTTCCCTTGGAGATTGTTCCATCCCTCTTGGCCGCCACTGGACCAGGACCCGAGGTGGTGGTGGTGATGGTGATGGTGGTGATGGTGGTGGTGGAGGTGGTAGTGGTGGTGATGGTGGTGGTGTAGGTGATAGTGGTGGTGGTGATGTTGGTGGTGGTTGGATTCATTAGATAACAGTGTTGATGCTTCTGTCTGGGGAGGTGTACTGGTACTGTCAAGGAGGGAACACACAGACACACACACACACACACACTTTGACCAAAATGTGTGTGTGTGTGTGTGTGTGTGTGTGTGTGTGTGTGTGTGTGTGTACGGCAGAGTATTAAGTGTAAATTCCGATTGTTGGCGCTACACTCCCGAAAAGAAGAGAAAAATACTAAATGATAATCACAGTGAAGAAATAATTAGGTTAACTTACGCTGTGAACATCTTTCATCATTAACAATAGCTGTAAAGTTATTTAAGTAAATTATAGGTGTTCTCCCACGTCTCATAGCGCGGCGAGTAAGGAGCGTGTTATTAGGTAAGCAAGAAGTGTATTATGATGCCCTCTGGCAGTACTGAGGGCCATGAACCCTTGCCCCGGGTCACATCCACTTGAAATATCGCCGCCATTTTTTGCTGTCGTGGACTTACTGTGGTGCAGCGACGCCTCGGAGATTAGCCAGTTAAATTGCAGCTTATTTGCTAAAGTCACTTCAATTGGTTAGATTCATGGTAAGAGTAGGATTTAAAAGGGGGGAAGGAGATTAGCCTCGAATCAATGGAGGTAAAAGATGTTTGCTCTATCCCGGTGAAATTAAATCGGGGTTACATATTAGCTGAACATTATGACCTCATTAAGAAATGGAGATTAACTTAAAATTAATAGTTGTGAGTTTTTTCTCTTCTTTTCTTTTTTTTTTTTTTTGCTTTGCCTCAGAGTAATTAAATTCACGTTATATACATCCGCCTGGGTTCGTGACGTCAGAGAGAGAGAGAAGGCATCGACCCGGGTGTTGTTTTGGTGTGAGGAAGAACGAGGGAGGCGCTTGGTACTGGGTAGAGCCGCCACTCCTACTGTACAAGACCCTAAAGCAGCCAGCAGGTGGATAAATTCTGAGAGATATGGACAGATAATATAAATACCCGAACAGATACTGATAAATGATAAGGGTAGAGAGAAGGGAACACGAGTATAGGTTCTAATGGTAAACAAAGAGCTCAAGGCGGAGAAATAATCCATAAGGTAAACACTGGCGAGATACTTCCTGGTCAGACTGAATAACTTAAGTAAAAAAGGGTTTCAAAAGGTGGCTGAGGCGTCAATGGAGTTTTGAAGAGACAGTGAAAAGGAGTTCTAGGACAGGAGGAAAGATTCGGGTCTCTTTAGAATATAATGTAAATAGGAAAAGAAAATATTGCAATAATATTTTGTCTCTCTCTGTGTCCGCCAGTTAGCCATGTTTTATTTACCCTGTGGATTAGTGTCTTATTATCCTCTCAACTTGTACTGTGTTTGAGGGAAAAACCTTGAATGTAATGAAGACTGACGGAGTATTAGAGGGTAAACAGACACACGGCTAGACAGATAGACAGACAGAGTTTGAGGAGTCCAATAGTCTTTACTTTTAACGTTGGTGGATTAATAAACATTTGATAATATAAGCAATCAAAAAGGTCGATGACATACACACGGACAAGGTGAACGTTAAGTAAGAGAGAAGAGGAGGAGGAAGAATTCAAGATATTTATACTATGTAAATAACTAATAAACCGAAATAAAATGTTCTCAATGACTTTCGATCACTTTTCAAATGTACATAAACTATTCGAAAAATTTGTATAGCTGTGTACCACAAAATAATACCATCAGTTGAATGAGTAACAAGGTTTGGTACATAAAAGCTGTCACTTTATGACAGTCAGTTAGTTAGTCAGTCAGTCAGTCAGTCAGTCAACCAACCAGTCAGTCAGTTAGTCAGTCAGTTAGTTAGTCAGTCAGTCAGTCAGTCAGTCAGTCAGTCAGTCAGTCAGTCAACCAACCAGTCAGTCAGTTAGTCAGTCAGTTAGTTAGTCAGTCAGTCAGTCAGTCAGTCAGTCAGTCTCATGAACAAAAGTACAGCAGTGAATGGCAAGAAAATTAAAAGACGAAAACAGTACAAAAATACTGCCTTTACTACATGATGGCTGTGTACAGAGTGTTTGATGTATTTTGTACTCATGTACGTAATATTTCTGTGCACATGGTGTTTGTGTACATCAGCGTATGGACATGGGGGGGGGGGGTGGACTGTAAATAGATCTTATTTTGGACATAGTCGGGCTATACATTACCATACCAGTGTTTACATTAACAAGCTGGGATTCTCAAAGCAACACTCGACTTGTGCCAAATTTCATTTATTAGCGTTCACTTCCTCTAATTTACGGCCCCATACTTTAATCCCGGTTGAGGAGACATCAGGTAACTGGCACCGAGTTATAAACGGCACACTGGACTTAATTTATGGACGTTATCTATCAGGGCGAATGTGTGTGTGTGCTTTTCTCGGCCGGGATGTAAAAGTTCAGGAATTATATTAGATTTTTTGAGGACGGGGCTGGGGTGTAATTCATGTCAGGTCCGCTAAGGCTACTTTTGGAGTTGTTATTTGGTTCACTGTGTTAATTTCTACGTTTATTTACTTCGTGATGAGGGGAAACAAGTGACAATGAAAAGAGGATAATGATTGTATTCCTCTTGAACTGTGTGGAGAGAGAGAGAGAGAGAGAGAGAGTTAAGTATCGCCCTGGACTGGAGTACAGATGAACGGGGAAACATTAGTCTGCAACAGTAAAGTGAATACATTATCCTGGGAATAAAAATAGGTTGAGAAAATGCACCTCCCACACATACTAAAAAGCAAATAAAAGCTGCAAAACTATGTTAGAGACAGAGTGATAAAAGTAGGCACGAAGGTAAACATACAAAATAGACATAAACAAAACAGACATAAACAAAACAGACATAAACAAAACACACACAAACATACAGACAAACAAAACAGACACAAACTTGCAGACATAAACGAAACAGACACAAACATACAGACATAAACAAAAAGACCTCACATGGACCCCCCCCCCTCCATACACCGCCAGATCTAAATGGTATGGTTAGGTGGATTCCTTGCTCCCTGTCAGCCCCAGGTGGGAGGAGGTCACCAAGAATATATATTTAACGCCTGATAAAAGAGACACAGTCATGCATGTCAGGCACGTAAGAGCTGGGAGAGACAAGTGGGCAGTTGGCACGTAACATCGTGTACGGTATACTCCATGTACGGGTATACTCAGGATATGTGCGTTGTATATGGAGAATAAATTGTACGCGTTGTATAATCTCCCGGCGTGTGTGATATATCTAAAGTGTTCTGGTAATATGTGGTATAATTACTAACCTCTGTGTGTGTGTGTGTGTGTGATAATCTCCGGAATGTGTGAGTTTGTTATATGAGTAATGATATATAAGGATTTAACCTGTTCAATAAAGGTGTTTCATAATTAATACAGTATCGTGTAATGGTTATGTGTTTTGTTCTTCTTAATACGTGATATATACGAGGATTGAACACCATGTATATAATTGTTCTAAAGTAATTAAATAATCAATGTCTTAGGACTAACATATTAGGTGATGATATTCAAATTAGGTTATGATTATGGTGTAGTTCACATGATAGTACTCTATGAAGTGTCTATTTAATGTTTAGGATATAATTAACATGATATATCTGTATAATAATCCCTTGAGATTATGTAATGAATATGGTAGAGGTATAATCAATGCTGCCGTATAATGCTGCCTGGGGTCTTATATATCGCGTGTCGTATAATTAGTGATACAAAAAGTTGAAAGTAATGAATTAATGTGGCTGCTCTCTCTCTCTCTCTCTCTCTCTCTCTCTCTCTCTCTCTCTCTCTCTCTCTCTCTCTCTCTCTCTATCATTACCCTCCTCAAAGCTCCATTAATTACTTACCTTGCAGCACGTAATTGTATGTTTGATATTAATTACCAAGCCCTCAAGGTGATAGCTCGAGTTTAACTGTGTCTTCATTGAATGCAATTACCGAGACAGGTGTGTGTAATAGTCATTTATGCATAACTCACTACAAAAGTATCTTTACGAAGGGGGTCAGATGAATTTCAGAATGAGCACTGTGACTCCTGTTGTCTCGGTAGGGTTGTCAAAATCTTTCGCTCGTTGTGTCATATTGTTTCACACAAAATCGTAAACAAATAAGGTTAGGATAAACACCCACACACATAATAACCATTAAAACTACGTGAGATCAGAACTAAAACTACGTGAGATCAGAACTAAAACTACGTGAGATTAGAACTAAAACTATGTGAGATCAGAACTAAAACTACGTGAGATCAGAACTAAAACTACGTGAGATGAGAACTAAAACTACGTGAGATTAGAACTAAAACTACGTGAGATCAGAACTAAAACTACGTGAGATTAGAACTAAAACTACGTGAGATTAGAACTAAAACTACGTGAGATTAGAACTAAAACTACGTGAGATTAGAACTAAAACTACGTGAGATCAGAACTAAAACTACGTGAGATTAGAACTAAAACTACGTGAGATTAGAACTAAAACTATGTGAGATCAGAACAATTTAAAGGAACTCCAAGGTGAGTGTACTTACCATGGTTAGCCTGACAAGCGAGGTTCAACGTGGCTCCTTCGGCCAGAGGACCCACAGTGCCTCCCTCTAGCGGCCGCCCTGTGCTCTCCGTCAGGGACACTACCCACACCGAATCTGCCGGAGGAACCAACGAGGGGTAGTAGTGTTAGTGCCTGGGATAGAGGGACAGGGATAGTGAGAGAATAGAGGATGGAAGAGCAGTGGGATTAAGGGGTTGAGGTTAAAGAGTGTGGCATATGCTTTGATAGTGTCCGGGGGGTGTATGGTGTGTTGGTATATATAGGGTGTGATAGGGTGGAAAGAGGGTGTGGTATGGGTGGAAAGAGGGTGTGATATGGGTGGAAAGAGGGTGTGATATGGGTGGAAAGAGGGTGATATGGGTGGAAAGAGGGTGTGATATGGGTGGAAAGAAGGTGTGATATGGGTGGAAAGAGGGTGTGATATGGGTAGTTATAGAGTGCAATGGAAGAATATAGTGCTAATATACATGGAGTTATATATGCGAGTTATTATTTGAATCTCTCTCTCTCTCTCTCTCTCTCTCTCTCTCTCTCTCTCTCTCTCTCTCTCTCTCTCTCTCTCTCTCTCTCTCTCTCTCTCTGATACGCATAAGTTACAGTATTCTTTAAAATTTTCTTTTATCACTCGTTCTTATTTCTCCCTTACCATTTTAAAAGTCAATCCCGCTCTCTTAGTGATAGATTCGTCTACATAAATGTTTTCTTCATCTACTAATTCCCGGAGAAGATAATTTCCAAGGACAATCAAGATAGGTTTCCCGCGTGATATCTTGTAAATTCCCGACCAACAATTCCATGATGTTGGTTGTGTCTAGAGAGGCCATGCACCTCTTATCACCTAATGATTTCCGTAATAAATGATCACCGCTAGGAAGCCTTCAAGACAGAGAGATCAAGTGGGTAAAGATCTTAACACAAGCTATTGACAACCACAAAATTTCTGGCCAATAACTCCAGGCTCTTTGATTCTTTTGAGAGAGGCTTTGAACCTCTTTATCTTATGATCCCCCGTAAAACGATCTCTTTCAGGAACCTTCAAGAAGACAGGGATTGAGAGGTACATGACTATAACATAATCCACTGATAGCCACAAAATACCCGACCCAAGATCTCCACCGTCTTGGAAGATTGTCCTGCAGTGAGAAAATTTTTAGAATTTTCCTCAACCTGCGAAGATTCATAACACACTGAGATATCGTGACGATCTCCTGGGAGCGAGGGGGAGTGAGAGAATGGCCCGATGATGGTGTGTGTAACAAACCAAGTAAAGGAGAGAGAGACAGAGACAGAGAGAGAGAGAGAGAGACAGAGGAACATAAATTTGAAGGGGAAGGAAGTGGTTCGAGAAAGACATGAAGAGCGTGAGAAGAGGAGGTGATAGAGGTGAAGGAAGGAATGAAGAGGTGAGAAAAGTTACTAAAATGGAATAAAAGAGACGTGAAGGAGTAGAGAAGAAGTGACGGAGGAAGACAAGAAAAAGGTGAGATAAAGTGATGGAGGAAGACAAGAAAAAGGTGAGATAAAGTGGTGGTGGAAGACAAGAAAAAGATGAAATGTTTAGCATTTGACTTCGTGTGACTCGCATACCTCTTAGTTGTTGTTTTTTCTTCATCTTTATTACCTGATGGTTCCCTTCCTCACCCAAACACAATACCTTGATCACCTTGAGCCTCCACCAGTGCCCTGATCGCAAGAACTTCAAACTCAGACAAAACCACTCGCCCATCCTAACAGACATAGTTAAGTGAAATATTCCTGGGAAAGACGAGGCTTCATGACCATCACAAACCCTCGCTGTAGAAATCATAACTAGAGAATAGGAGTTCGTGTGGCTGGCTGGCTGGCTGTGGTTATAGAGAAGGATGAACTACCATACCTTCAACACCATTTTCACCACCACAACACACACAAAGTCACATGCAGATGAATCATTTTTTATGTAAGCGTCTCCCATCACTGTACGGTCTCAGCGGTCCGTCCATCTCCCGTAACCTAACTAAATCTGCCTTCCTCTATCCTCAGTGTCGAATCTTCCAGTTCTGGCAGTCTAGGAGATGGAAATATTCAATACTTCTCTCACTGACTCTCTTGCCGTTTCCCTACAAGCAAGACACTTTTCAACCCTTGTCTGTAGCTGCAGTCCTAAGTCACCATCTGTCAATTTTTACTTATAGATACACTTTACACTTACAGTCTCACTTGGAATTACTTTTTCTCTGCCAGGTAATAAAAATGCTCCTCAAGTTTTCGCTCTCTACTATATCTTATCTTGTCCTTAATAGGTCATGTCCGTTTTGACCAGGAATGCTGCCGGCGGTAGGAAGGTTCTATTGAGAGCCTCAGTAACCCTCATCGATAATATCTAGTTTAAATTAACACTCCTCCCTAGTGACCCAGTTCTCCCCTCCTCCCTCAGCCTCCTTCAGTAATCTTCTCTTCCTTATCCCGTCTCTGTCTTCACGTCCGCTGCTCCTGTCTATTATTCCAAGTGTTTTTCGATCCAGAACATCCTCCGGGTACTACACTGTGCGTCACCACGACACTATGCGTCACCACTGCACTGTGCGTCACCACCACACTATGCGTCACCACCACACTATTGCACTGCTCGAGGTCTAAGAAATCCCTAGAATATATTGTAAAACAAGTTGGGGTCACGTGTCCAACGCTTTGTCATCAGCTTATCACATAAATACATTTTCACCATCAGTGAATGTGGCGGCCAGCGACAAGATCATAGATAGAGTTATTCTTGACCCTAAAAACAAACGGAGAAAATATAAAGAATCAACATCAGAAAAGACAGTATGGCGTAGCTCCAGAGGCTGCTGCTACAGTCACCGGTAAAGCAACAATAAACTGACACAATCTCTGACACTAGTCAGTTTCTGTATAATACTCACTTTCAAGATTTCTCAAAAATTTATGAACCAAATTATTCGACGGGACACAAAGGCTTCCAATCCAATTATTGGAAATATATGATTAATTTAAGCAATTAGATGCATAAGTTTAATTAATTTCAGTGGCTCGAGCATTCATAATTGGAATTTACGCTTGGAATAATTCTGGGCACAGATGTGAGGTAGAAAGTTCAGATGCATAAAACTACAATAGGGATGCGATCATCGACGGTATAAACAGGACTAATAAGAGTAATAATAGGCCCGAGGTCTTGAAGAACACGATCAAGGCTGTTCCTGATCCCACTACTAAGAGTTAAGGCTTTTTAAAGGATCAGTCATCATTCTTTAGCATCAAACTCGCTGTAAAGAAAAGAGAGGGACATTACCAGTAACATCAATGGCGCTATTAAGAGACTTTAATGTCATACTTAATAGGATCGAGGATGACATTTATAGGGTCAAGATTATTATTTAAAGAATCGGATTTATAAACGGGTTACACAGCATTAATATTATTAGGATTTAGCTTAGTCGTAACATGTAGCTGTGAGGAGGAAGGCTTACAGAGCACAATAGCTTTACTCATTATTACTTCCCCGAAATGAGACACAGAGTCAATAAATTTACTCCAGCAATCAGTACTAACAGTGACCGGTAGTGAACGAGTCGCAGTGAAGCCCAGAGATTATATTGCTTCTGTGGGACTCATTTCCTCTCATGTGCGTCACTCCATGATGAGGAGCAGTAATGGGTGATGAGGTTTTCGTGTTTCCGAATTCAAATATTGTGACGGTCAACAGCAGTTTCTCATCGTTCTGAGGTTACGTTTCTGCGTTCTTCTCTCAGTTTCATAATGCACTGGCTTACTGATGGACTTTTTTTGCTTAATCAACAATAACAAAATTCATCATTAATAACTATTACAGCACCGTTTATAACACCATCATCATTACTATATGGTAAATGGTAACTTTTCTGTGGTTGTTATGACTTAGATTAATAGTTTCTTTTTCTTCTTGTTCCTCAACTTTGATATACTTGACAGTCCAGGGTTCTGCGTCACCCAACACGTCCTTCACTGTGTCTCCTCCCCCAACTCCCCGTCTGCCTGTAGCACCTCCACTGAACTCATCTGCTGTCTACCCCAGCTGGTTCTGTCCTGGTTCTGACATTTCCTAAATCTGAATATTTCCTGTTGAGACGACAGTCCACATCTTCGTACTTTGCTCCGGCCCTGGACAGTATTCAGTACTTTACCTCACATGGATGTCCAGTAAAAGCTTTATATATAGATGCATAGTGAACCTTTAGCCAAGTTATACACTCCTGAAACTGTTGTTGGACCCGTGGAAATGTCTCGGTCAAGATCTCTTTTCATATTTCACTAGACTTATAACTAACTATCTCTTTGGATCACCGGTTTCAGGTGTCTCTCCCTTTCTCTGTTTATTATGTCTCTCTGAACTTCTATTGTCATCCTATGTGAGTGTCTCGTTAGTGTCTCAGTGTAGTTATTGGTGACCATATTATTCCTGCTGTGTTGTAAATGGTTCACTTTAGTTTACCGAGGGAATTCATCTACTATTCATGTATTCATATTTAATTTGTTTATACACATATATTCTTTAACATCAGTGTATATGTAGAATATTGAATATGTGTTGATCACCGTCAGCCATCCATTTAAAAATAAAATCAACGTGAATGTAAAATCAAAGGAACAAGAATTCTTTGACGCACTGACAATCACATAAAAGTTAGTCCACGTGAAAAGGTTGTTGATAGTCTGAAATCACAACTTGCAACAATATTTTTCCTTCGCTGCAATTAGTTCTGCCTTTCATACCGCGCGTACACAAGAATTACGTTACTCCATTTTTAATTCTTACGTGGGTCGTGTAGTTAAAATAATTCATTACTATTATTGAAGTTTTATGCGAATAATGGAATCAAAGTAATTCTGACAGTTCCAGAATGGTTGTTTGTGGTACACGTGTTTGTTTCTCTTGTATGTGTAGAAACTTTTGAGAAAGAACAAGGATCTGTTTTTCCATGATCGTCTAAGGCATGATAAAGATTTGCAAATATGTGAAGAGATGAAACACTATTTTAATTAATGAACATCTTTAAGTTTACTGGCCACTCAGAGTGAAAGTTTGAGATGTCCCTTGGTAGTTTGAATAATTTTCCTCCTTCAAAGTATTAAGCACCATTAAATAAGTGAACAAACTTACAAATAATAAAGAATAAATAATAAATAATAATAATAGTCCAATATAAATTCAGGTCAAACGAAAAATAATAATCACATACATATTTCCATTAGTCTTTGTACAACAGGAAAAGGAACACGAACTAACAACAATAACTGGATTGAATTTTGCATACATTTTGGTATGGGGTCTGTCCTTGGTGAATGATATTAACTCTACCTGTTATTTCTTTACCAAAAGCTTTTAACTTTGCCTATTTACACACACACACACACACCTCGGTCACCAAAGCTTTATTTCGATACTAATACTTCTTGTTGAACTTTTTAAATGCGATTCTTAAGATAAGGAGAGGAAGAAGAGAGAGTGTGGTGTTGGGCGAGTGGACATGAGTGAAGCGTGAGAATAAAAAGGAGAAAGATGTGATATCGAGATCCCCAGTGGTCGACAGGGTGAAGGATGGACCTCTGGCCTGGTATGGAGAGTCGTGAGGGATGAGTGGAGAGGAATCGATTGAAAAAAAAGAAAAGATATCTATTTAAATGAAAGGAAGGCGGAATTAGTAAATATATTCCATGTTAACCACCCATTATACATGTATGATTAAGTATATAGTTCATCCATTATACAATATACATGGATGATTAAGTATATAGCTAGTGAAAAATACTGTCTGTGAATGAAATGAAGAACGATGTCATCAGAGGCTCATTAGTTTAATATTTGTTCCTGTCTGTGTATCAAGTAGTCCTTCTAGACCTCGGGGAGTCGGGTTGTACTGCAGCTTTTATACTTTCATAAATAAGATAAGACCAGAGGAGGGGAGACACGTGGAGAGACAGAGGGGTGTGTTTACAGAGCAGGACCTTGTTACCTACGGCGGGAGGTCTATGGTAAATACACACACACACACACACACACACAAGTACCAGTATCTTAAAAATAAAGAACAGTGGTTAATACCTTATCTTACAGCTGGAATGTAACTGGAAGTGTATAAATAATGCGACTCGGAAGCTGGAAGGCTGACTAAGGTGCACTTGGCACTGGTCTCTATAGCGTCAATTTGAGGGAACATCGAAGCTCTTGACTGCTCATACTGGCCATATAAAAGTCTTTTGCTTGTAAATGTTGCAAGAGAAGGGCATGGATGCGTTTTTTATAATGTGTAGAGAGAGAGAGAGAGAGAGTAGAGAGAGAGAGAGTCTAGCAAGAAAAATGATGAGACAATAACACTCATTTATATCGTCATAACATTTTTATTGTTTCAAGTTAGAGACATGCGAACGAACAGAGAGAGAGAGAGAGAGAGAGAGAGAGAGAGAGAGAGACAAACCTCAACAGACAAAATACAGACAAAGTCACAGCCGGAGAAGGGATGCGGTGTTTACTGTAATGCCCTGAATAATATCACCAGTATATACCTTACCAGCGAGCGACCGGCAGGAGGTGACATAGGGGTACGTTTGTACATAAAGTATCGCACCGTGAGAGGACGCAGTGTTGGTCCTTTGAGAGTCTGTGGAAAAGTCTCAGAATACGAAGGAAGACGCAAAGGAAGAGGGAAGGGCAAAGAAGAAGGCTCAAGACGTGAAGGAAGAGCATGGAGAAGGCTCAAGACGTGAAAGAAGAGTAAGGTAGAAGTCTCAAGACATTAATGGTAAAGGAGGAGTAAGAGAGAGAAAGAAAAAAGGTGAAGGAAGAAATAAGAAAGATGAGACGATAAGGAGAAAGACAGGATTTAGGATGCAAGCAAACCAACATTTATCAAGAAAGATGCGTCGTGTGTGTGTGTGTGTGTGTGTGTTGTGGGGGGAAGACAAGTATATATGCTGGGTGTTAGTGCGGTGCGCCAGGCGTGTTTTATGGGCCCTCTGAACCTAAAGTGCGAAGCGGATGTTTATGTTGGCAGTAAGGTGTGTGTGTGTGTGTGTGTGTGTGTGTGTGTGTGTGTGTGTGTGTGTGAATGTGAGTGTGTGTGTGTGTGTTTCAATTGATGTTCTGTACTGGAGTCCTTTGTGGGTCGTGGTGGCCGTCCCTCAGATGTACCCACAAAGGAATTTTTTAATATTAACTTGGTGTGTGATCTACAGCCGCTATGATATTACGTTTCTCTCGTCGCAGAATGGCAATAAATACCTGTGAATGACACTGGGGTTCTTGAGTCTCAGTAACGAGTCGGTGGGTTTGTGAGTCGGTTTGTGAGTCAGCTGGTTTAAGAGGCAGTCGATTTGTCAGACAGTGGGTTTGTGAGACAGTGGGTTTGTGAGATAGTGGGTTTGTGAGACAGTGGGTAAAACGAAAGAAAAATTACGTTGATTGACAGAATAAAGACGAAAACAGAATAGAACAGAAATAAATAAAATACAAAGAGAATGTGAGAGAGAAAACTAACACTCTCTGAAAATAAGAAGCAAAAGAAATCGAGAATAAAATAATGATAGTAAACATCCCGTGGGAGGAAGAAGAATAAGAAAAGGCAAGAATTCTGTGGGTGGAAGCAGGAAAAGAAAACGGGCCACGTGAAATCGCTAAAATGTTGAGGAATGTCTTGTCAGGGCCAACTTAAACAAAACGAGCGACGACGCCAACATTAAGCTGAAAAACTTGACTCTGTTGCAAAAGTTAGTGAGGAGAGTGACCGTTCCCGCTGGCACCTGAACGTGACCTTCTAGATTAAAGAAAATTATCTACAGCTTCGGGAATATTCTTTAATAAAGTGTTTAAAAGTTGTCCTAAAATTGACGTGTGTGACAGAAAGTGTTGAATATTAATTTCTAAACTCATAATAATGTTTTAAAATTTCGTGCGTTACTTTATAAATTGACACATGTAACCTGTATTGACGAGTGTAGTTTTAAATCAAGGAAGGTGGCCTTTTTAAATGGCGAGCATTTCGACTGAACTAATTGTCCCTCAAAAATGAACGGTCAGTCATCCATGTAGGATTGTAGGACTTCCACTTGCAGTGATAATGATGCTCACTCTGTGTATGCTAATATTGCAGTGAATGGTTTATGATCGAGTCTGTTATGATTGATGGACTTTTAAGTTCATATATCAAACAATCACCTCTGAGGGTTGGCAACCATGGTCCACCACTCCGAGCGTTTTCAGGTTGTCATATTTCACCGATTTTGTATCTCTCCGAGGACTCAACTTTTGGGTATATTCGCCGACCCAATTTTCTGCCTTCCCTGGGTAAACAAATATGTGTAGATTGGGATGTATAACTATTATAGACAAGAAGATAATCAGTATTATAGTGTGTAACTGGTGCCTCTGAACTCGCTGTTGGTCCCGTAGTGTCGCCCGGGTGTAGGTTTAAGAGAGTAACGATTAGAATGGCTTTCTTACGTAGTGATTATAAATGCTCTCAGAGAAACACACACACACACACACACACACACACACATACACACACACACACACACACACACACACACACACACGCACACACACACACACACACACACACACACACACACACACACACACACACACACACACACACACACACACACACACACACACACACACACACACACACACACACACACACACACACACACACACACACCCACCCACACACACACACACCCACACCCACACACACACACACACACACACACACACACACACACACACACACACACACACACACACACACACACACACACACAGATGATCTAAATCATTCACGTGTAACTTCTCTCCGGTATCTTCTATTTCACACACTATCCAAGTACACCCACACACCTACACCCACCAACCCACACCCACCCACCCACACACCCACACCCACCCACCCAGGTAGCTCTACACACACCCAGACACTCACCTGGTACACTTAGTTGCAGCCTCTGGGTCCAGGTAGGAGAGAGGCGGAAGTGCACATTACACCTGTACTCGGCCTGGTCATCGTGGTGGGTGTTGCGGATGACCAGGGAGGTGCCACCCCCATTCAGCATCATCCGTGACCGTCCGCCCACACCGGCCACGCCCACATTTCCGCGATCTAGATTGGCGCGGGCGTCGTAGCTGTGGGAGGAGGAGGGCGTGGTTTAGAGCGACGGAGGGAGGTACTGGTGTGGTGGATGATGATAATAATAAAAATAATAATAATAATAATGATAATAATAATAATAATAATAATAATAATAATAATAATAATAATAATAATAATTATAATAATAATTAATATACACACAGACATGATGGAGCACAAACACACACACACACACACACACACACACACACACACACACACACACACACACACACACAACACACACACACACACATATTTATATTTATACACCTACTGTACGTATAACATAAATAATCACAAAGTTTTCTGTCGTCGGATATTATTGTGTTATGAAAATAGTCAAACGTAGCAACGTGACGGCCATTACCTGACAGGAGCGGTAATGACACAGTAACGAGTCACTTGGAGGGGAGAGGTTACCTGACACAGCGAGGAGAAGTTCTGTTACCCTTGACTATATTAAGACAGGTGTTACTAATGAGTTGAGATCTACCTTTACCTGTTGACAAGGATCTCATTAACCTTGACCTTTAACCAACTAAGATCAAAGTCAAATCCCTTTTAGATAACTAATTAATACAGTAATAAATATTAAAGATAAAATATGTTTTTATAATTTTCTATGTTATATTTTATGAACCCAGTGGCCAAATGTTTCAGTGTGGGGATAACAGCATGAATAACTGTGGTAAGACGTGAGGAGGAGTCATCCAGGAGGAGTGGGCGAGAGAAGGAGGGAATGGGAGAGTAATTGAGTGAGAAACGTATAGCAAATGGGGTGTATAAACCGTCGTAAGAATAAGAGTGAGACGTTCATTAGTGGTGTAGCTGAAAGTGCTTTATAAAAGATGATTTTAATGAAAGACTTGAATTTAATGAGGAAATGTGTAATAATAATAATAATAATAAAAATAAAAATAAGGTTCGTTAGTAAGCACTGGGTACCTACGAGCATAAGTGCCTCTCAGATTGTAATGAAGGAGGAATTACAAGAAAATTCTGATAATACAGCATAAGACATTACATAATCCCTGTTTAAGTAGTGAGAGTGAAGGGTGATATGGATGAGAGGAGATGAGTGGGAAGAGAGGGAGATTAATAAATAACGATAGTGAGACTGATAACTATAGAAATGTGTAGGACTCATAGCTAACCTAACCTAACCTAACCCAACCTAACCCAATGTATTTAATTATTATTCTTATTCACCTTGACCGTTGTACTTCTACCTTTGACCTTTGACCCTGTATGTCCTTTACCTTTGACCTTTGCCTATAACTCTTTGACCTGTGCACGACGACGATAAGCTCGTGGCCATAACTGTAAGGGAAACTAATCCCAGAGTTTGGAAGGAATAGCTCGTAGCTCACCAAAGTTAGAGGCTTATAGACCAACAGGTGAACAGATTATTAATGGTATACTGAGTTAATCACGATTTTATGTACCGGTGAGGTTATTGTTGTCCCCTGTGAGCAATAGTTGTTTAACCCATGACCAGATGTTGAAATGTGTGTTAAGTGACGGTAGTTTATGTTAGTTTTGTCTATCTTAGCCTCAGTTTAGTTGATATCCATGTATAAATATTGGCTATTTTGCATTCGTAGCAAGTGTGCTGTTTGATCTCTCTCTCTCTCTCTCTCTCTCTCTCTCTCTCTCTCTCTCTCTCTCTCTCTCTCTCTCTCTCTCTCTCTCTCTCTCTAACAATGCGTCCTCGTGCAGTTGTGTTTAATCTTACTTTCAAGCACGATGACTACAAACAAACGTAGCGGAAATGGTAATCTTTTAACACGTCACTCTCCGTTGTTGTCTTCCTCCTCTCACTGATACTGTCCTATAATACAAACATCTATCCTGTCGTGTGTAAGACTGTCACCTGGTCGTCATACCGTCGCACACTTTCAAACAGTGATACTATTTTTTTATTTAATTTTTTTTTTTTTTTAATTAGACATTCATTCTGTAGTGTTGTGCCGTGTGTGTGTGTGTGTGTGTGTGTGTGTGTGTGTGTGTGTGTGTGTGTGACTGTCACCCAACATGTCGGAGCGTCACTGTCGGTTGAAGGTGAAGGTTGAAGCATGTGTCCAGTGTGTCATGTGCGTGGTTGCTTCATCCCTACTAACAACTGTCTCAGTCCCCGTCTTTACTGTGTTATGTATGACGTTCAATTACAGTGCCGCGGTGCCTCAGTTTTCCCCACTGTCTTGTAGGCGACATTTTTCTTCTGTTGAGACAATAACTTTAATCTAGAGTTCCACATTTTCTTCGTCTTTTTAATCTTCTTTCTTGTGTTGCATTTCTTCACTCCCCAGACGAGGCTTTTCTTCTTAAGTGCAATTTTTCTTATGTTTTGCCGAGTTGTTAAGCAGTTATTAATTTCTAGTAATACATAGTTAGTTGTTGCATTACCTAGACGCCTTCAGTGCACGAGAGTTCCAGGAAAAGTCGAGTTGTTTACTTCTAAGTTGGTGGTATTAACGCTCAACAGTGGAACTCTTGGTGGAATTCTTATAACTAGTGCGTGATTGGCTGCAGGGTGACTGGCGGGCGTGGGAGAAGTGCTAACCACCTACTGTCTGGGCTCAAGTCGTAAATGAACCTAACCTAACCTGACCTGACCTAACCTAACCTAACCTAAAGAGAGATTGGTCCCTTTGGGTCGTTGAGTTCCTTGCCCTTAATTAAGGATGATGACTGATGCACTCTCTCTCTCTCTCTCTCTCTCTCTCTCTCTCTCTCTCAATGGTCACTAATACCCGTACAGTGTTCAGACAATTGCATAATATCTTGTACCGTTACATCAATAAGTACATGTCTCGCTGTTGTTGTTTGGGGGTGGGGGATCAATATTGTTTATGTAGTAGAATGGACTCTGAGCGATTGAGACACGCCTGGTAGTGTGTACTGTAGTGCCCCAGTGACATTTAGAACCTTTGTGTTGGACGAATTAATTTATCCCTTTGGCCACGCGTATATGACAAACCTGTGTGATTGAACAATTGTTAAGCTTACCTGTTATTATTATTATTATTATTATTATTATTATTATTATTATTATTATTATTATTATTATTATTATTATTATTATTATTATTATTATTATTATTAATTATTATTATTATTATTATTATTATTATTATTATTATTGATGTTGTTTATATTATTATTACCACATCTTGTTATATTCACTTCTGCTTTAGTACTGATAATATTTCCCATTTCTTTGCTGGTCAAGAATATGCAGCATATACCAGTGATTGACAAAGTTTTACATCTGATTCTTCAAAAAATTTCAAACTTTCTTCTAATAGTTTAATCACATAAAAGCCAAAATATTGGAGTTTCTATTACTAAAGATCAAAGGTCAGAGGTCAGTAATATAATTATTGAAATGTGCTTTATAATGACGATATATCTGTATGTATAAAACAATAGAAGTTTCAACAGGTTAATTTGTGAATTTTATTGGAGTTTTAACTTTTTTTTTAAATTAATCTACCTTGTGATGAATATTTAAAACCTATTTTTGTCCATTACATTTTTCTCATATTTTTTCTGCATTATTATTAATGCTTTTGTATTCATGATCATCTGGTAACTATGTTGAGGGGAAACCTGGTATTTAGGGGTTTGAATATGACTCTCTCTCTCTCTCTCTCTCTCTCTCTCTCTCTCTCTCTCTCTCTCTCTCTCTCTCTCTCTCTCTCTCTCTCTCTCTCTCTCTCTCTCTCTCTCATAGTTGTTGTTTCAGCTGTTAGCTATCCGCAAGAGTAAGTTGCAACCATCCATGTAAAGTAGGTAACAGCATTATTGCAGTGTGTGTATGTGTGTGTGTGTGTGTGTGTGTGTGTGTGTGTGTGTTTCCAGGGAAGGGTGCATATGTCTCCCACACACCGGCAGGCAATAGTGCATGTTACACCTCGCTAACCTAACATAACACGTGTGCTTATATGACACAACACGCCCTTACAAGACACCACACATTTTTACTACCTGACTCATATCACTGGTATTGAACAGTAAACGTTTGTTCATGACACTAGACGTTTTTATACAACACCAGACGTTCATGTATAGATCAACATAACTTAGAAGGTGGCACGAGGCTCTACTCTGCTTAACCAATTCTTCCTGGCTGACACGTTCATTCATGCACTTGTCAAATGTGTCATATGACTTGTCAACACACAGCTGCGGCTACTTGTAACTGACGCCAGAGACTCGACTAAGCCAAGAGTCTTTCATATAAGGCACTAGATGACTTTTATGTGGCACAGGACGTATAATGAACCAGGCATTGTTAGTATGGCACTGAGCTGTCCTGGCACTCATATTAAATATATATACGGATGTTCTCTTATACGACACCAAATACTCACACCATCGTTTCCTCTCGCTGACACACACACACACACACACACACACACACACACATACACAGTGACCCCACTTGTCAAATAGGTCACGCTGCTTGTCAACATCCCACACACACACACACACACACACACACACACACACACACACACACACACACACACACACACACACACACACACACACACACACACACACACATACACAGTGACCCCACTTGTCAAATAAGTCTCGCTTGTCAACATCACACACACACACACACACACACACACACACACACACACACACACACACACACACACATACAGTGACCCCACTTGTCAAATAAGTCTCGCTGCTTGTCAACATTTCACACACACACACACACACACACACACACACACACACACACACACACACACACACATACATACACAGTGACCCCACTTGTCAAATAAGTCTCTTGCTTGTCAACATCCCACACACACACACACACACACACACACACACACACACACACACACACACACACACACACACACATACATACACAGTGATACTTGTCAAATAAGTCTCGCTGTATCAACATTTCACACACACACACACACACACACACACACACACACACACACACACACAC